TTGCACATATGAAATGCAGTCAATATTAGTCTTCCCAAAATGAATTAATGCCATGCACCTTTTATTAGCAAATGGGTTTGAAATAGGGCTCTGAAGAGCACTGGGGGTTGCTTTGGAAATATGGCTAGAATTTCTTTGATGGAGACTCAGAAGTATTAGGGTGGCCTTTCATTTCCATGATAATTGCTTTTTTTTTTCAATGATTCAGCATACTCCATGGTCACTTGGCATGAAATGACTTGAATGCAAGTATAGTCAAGATGCTGGAAATTTTGGCAGTGGAAAGATAAATGAGATTTAAAATGAGGTTTAGACTTCTAGGTAGGCCATTGTTAGTGAATAACTTTGCATTTCAAAGATGTTGATCACTACCCACAATAAGTTCTGATATAGATGCAATATTAGTTTTCTACTCAAAGAACAGGTGCTTCATCCAATCCCCTTAATCCTCTCATGTTGATAATCTTATCATGATTCTGTGTAGCTGAAAATAAAATAGGTTATGACAACCTATTTTTACTAAGCAAGTGGGATGGAAGGAGGACTTAAACTAGCTGAAATTTAATCATCTCAAATGAGCTTACCTGCCAAACTTAAAAGGACTTGAGGAATTTTACCTTTTGCAAAAATGCATTAAATCTTTCATGCAAATTTTACCTTTTTGAAAATAACCTGTATTGAATCTGTTTTCTATTACTTCCACATCTTTAATTTCTTAAATAAAATATTTTTTAAATGTTTAATCAAAATTAAGAAAATCAATAAAAGAACTTTTTCTAAGATATAACCAGAAGCAACAGCAACCTATGACCTTGAGTTATCAAATCTTAAGTCAACAATAGGATTTGACATTTAATTTTTATATTTCAAATTACATCTTTCAACTAAAAACAAAGAACAAGAAAAAAAAATTGGATATGATATTCACTAAAATATGTGAATCAAATTCAAATGTATGTGATGGACTCCTGAGTCAAGTTCCCTAACACGGGCTCAACATTAACTGCTCCTTTTACAGGCCTTGAATTGACAAGGGGATTTGGATACAACCAGCTCCAGCATCAATAACAAGATTGGATTACTTCATTTTAGGTCTTGCAAATAATTTAAGTCAATATTAAATTCTTTCTTTTGAATCAATTTTTTTTTAAAATGAACTTAGAAAACTGTATTTACCTATCAGCAAACTCTGATCAGTTACAGTTATGTGCAACCTGTCTCTATCACCATGGGATATTAATTGAATAAAATAACTGACTTACATATATTGTACATCAGTATGCAAAGTACATATGATTCTGAAACTTACACAACCTCATGATTCAATCTGTAATCATCTGGGACTACTAAATGAGATCTAACTGAAGCTGAAGCAGTCTTATCAGACATTTAAAAGTTAGAAGTAAAATACAGTTTCAGGAGATGATGTTCTTGCCAAAACTTCACATTCATAAAAAAAAATTGATTCCACCCAGTTAAATTTGCAAAGGGTGAAAAACACCTCCCACCCCTCCCCCCTACCGGACTTTCCCCCCTCCTCGTTGCTGGATGGAGTCAAAATTAGAGAGGCAACACCACATTTGCCATTCATTCACATGGCTTCAGGAAAACATTAAAAGCCAATTTCAAGAGTACACAAAAAAAGAGGTATTAAATGAAGCAGCTTATTAACTACACAGGAATTTATATAAACTTTGTAGAAGCATCCAGAAGCATTCCCACAGGGGGATAAATGTGTTATTTTTTCTTCTCAGAACATCAGAAACCACATAACAACTTATTGGCATCCTGCAATTGCATCCAAGTGGCTTGAGCTGCCCCCTCTGTCTACCACTGACTTGGATATACACAGATTAGCACTGAATATTTTCAACTGAGTCAAGATACAAATGCCTGAAGTAATGAGCTGTGAATCATACTTCCTCCAACCTGGAATGACATGATGCCTAGTTTAGCAACTTGTTTTTAAAGGGTTCAAAATGGAAGACAAGGATAAGATACATGCCCAAGCTTCCTGGATTCCTGATCAGCTGCACTATTCAAGAGTGAACACTTTTGGATTTGGGCACTGATTCTACTGTTTTTAGCAGCTCTGATTGACACAGGCAAATACTTGACTCTCAGAGTCTGAGAAATCTGTGACAGGTCACAATCGCACAAGTCTGAAATATCCCTACAGTGAAGCAAATCACCTAAATAAAAGAAATTGCAGCAGCACTCATTCAAAATGGGCCATTCAAAAGTAAGGCCTATGCCTATAGTGTATTATCTTTGCCTGCAGAGTAAACATAACATACTAACTCAAGATTCAACCTTAGGCCCATGAACAGCTCTTGACAACGGTTGGCTCCAATGGTTTATAAAACCATTGGCGCCAACCGTTAGCTAAAGCCCACTTCTTAGAAACTCAGAAAATATTGCGTTTTATTTTTTCTGCCAGGCCCTAGCCAAAAGTCCTTTCATAGACCCGAAATGGCCTATGAATGAACAGCAGGACTAAGCCAACAACGTAAATAGCAGAAAAACTGAGATCAGCACAATTTGAGAGAACCAACTGTTCCTGAATTTAAGCAACTCAATCGTAGAATGACACGTCTATAGGGTAGGGTGACCAGACGTCCCAGTTTTTGTCCCAGTTTTCCCCATTGCAGGGGCTAACATTTCGACATTTTCTTGAAAATGTCCTGGTTTTTCTTGAAAAAAAAAAAAACTCTGGTCACTCTACTATCATATACACCTTCTTTCATCATACCGCCTCGATACTGCGTAATTCGATCAACTGCCAAGAGATGGCGGGTGACCAACCTATCACAGCCTCATTGGATCCACTGAGATAGAGGTCTCCTCTTCTAACAGTTAGAGACCTCCATCTCACGTGAGACCCTCAGGAAAGTAATGGACAAATGTATACCAGTGAATCTCCAAACTGTAGTTTGCTTTTGTAACGTAGTCCAATTTTCATTTTGAGAAATATAGATTTTGTGACTACTTGAAATGGTATCACAACATTGTAGTCACGCTGCATGACTCTAAAAACGATTTCGCGTTCGCCATAAACTGCTATTTGTGAGATAAAGCATCATCAGGCCCGTTTCTAGGCATTTTGGCGTCCAGGGTAAGGAGGTCCAATGGCTGCCCCCCCACACCCCCTTTCCCTTTTCCCCCAAACCAGCAACTGCGACGCGAAGTGCCACCGCAACTCTGGCGATTAGGGCCTTATCCCCAGAAACTGACAGGGAGGATACAGAGGGAATTAATACGTCCATGAAGCTAAAGTTCTGCAAACAATTTCCGAAGACAGTGCAATCTTCAGTGTTGGGCGCGTTACTTGTGAAAAGTAACTAGTTACAATTACAAGTATTTCGCCCAAAAAGTACTTAGTTACCAGTAGAATTACTTCTCACCAAAAGTAACTAGTTACAAGTAGAAGTTACTTTTAAGTTACTTTTCCTGAACAAAAATTCTGATCATTCTACAGCTTCTCCACTTCTTCGACAGAAGCTGGATGCATGGACTGAAAGCGAAACTTACCCCTGATTTCATGAAAATTTTTATCATTTAACTGGATAAATACTCACGCTCACTCTTTTTCCTGTGCCTCTTCCCTTTCCATGGGCTACTTAACAGGAATTATACGCTGATTGACAGAATGCACCCTTTAGTTTATAAAAATATAGCCAATTTTGCCATTGGTGATGGGGAGACCTACCCCAGCCTGCCCCTAATCATGAGTTCCAGATAGAAAAAAAAATAGAACAAATCAAAATCATGTTCTCTTGTTTTTCCTTAACCAGACATGGACTGCATAAATCCAGCTTATACAGTGATTGAAGAAGAATTTTCACTAACTTTTTGCAATGTAATGGCATTTTTATGGCGCAATCAAGGAGATGAGGGTGTTTCAACCATCAAATATGAGGAATTGGGTCTTAGCTGTTCGCGTTAAAAGTGGTACATATTCACTTGCAATTCACTGTTTATTAAGTTAGGCTCTTCACTTCGAAGTGCAAGTGCTAGGCCTGAGTATTAACGGAGTCTAACTAATGATGGATTGTTGGGAGCGTGCTAAAACGGGGCACTTGAAATGTGGAGAGGCAGCTAGGGTATACCCACCCGCCGAGCCTAAAGGGGGATCGGACAATGTTGAAGAGAGAGGTACGAACAATAAGCATACGAAAGGTTTCCGTGCAGATGCACTATCAGAGATGCACTATCAGAACCAAAGCAACGTCTATCATTCAGATCTAACGTTAGACCAAAGGTTGTCTGTATGGAGTCAGGACACGATGGAACTCATCTAGACATGCTTTCTCAAGTTATATGCTGAAATTCGTGCGACGGAAAGTACCTTGGCCTCATTTCCCCTAAGGAACTAGTTGCCAGTTCCGTTACCCTCCCCTGAAAAGTAACTCGTTACCTTAAAAGTTACTGAAAAAAGTAATTAGCTACTGTAACGCGTTACTTTTACCTCGTTACCGCCCAACACTGCTTATGGGTTCAAACGAGCAGTTTTATTTTTTGGGGGCTTGGGTCTTTGACTTTTCATTGGAACTCATTTGATGCAAGAGATACAATAGACTTTGTCTTAGAGAACTGACAAAGGCCCTAGACCTACTCTGATTTGTAGTCGTCTACATTCCTTATGTCGCTCAATCTTCATTTCATCAGATGAGGACAGCACAGGGTTTGGCCTCCTATCTCGTAATCTTACAAAGCTTCATGGGTTTCATGCCAAATGCTTTATAGAACTTCCACGACAATTACATACTTTGTCACTGAGCTCTGAACTCAAACTTTGAGATGGTACTTTCACAGCTCCTATAGCTATGGATAATCCACTGGGGATTACTTCATGAAGACTCATCAAGTAATTCAGAGCATTTACCAGAAAGAATGTCATTCATTGGAATTCAGGTACAGCAGGCAAAACAAAACAAAAACATTCAAAGCATTCATAGTCCATCATGCAATCATGAGAGTTCTGATGGAAAAACAACAGAAAACAACAACCCAAGAGGTTGTGAAAATACTGGGAAAAGGAAAAATGAGAAATGCCACATGAAAGACAAAAATCCTTGAGCAGAAACAGAACACACTATCACAGACCAGCAATACATTCTGGAAGGAACAATGAGTGAGTTGATTGGAGGCAATGGATGAAATCACACATGAGATTCCAAGTTGAAGACAAATTCAATCACATCTTGTGGGACGGAATCATGATAGCAGATGTAGGTCTCTCTTGAGTCACTTCCTTTGCGGCTGTAGGAGAGGATTGTATTTTATTGCACATTCTTCACGAGAGATTTGAAGTAGCTCAAGACTGAAACAGAAATAGCCCTAAACTCACCCAATGACCCAGTAACTAGATGTCTGGGATGGTTTCTTCCCGGGGATGTTGAACAAAGCTCCAATTTCTACATTCTAAGGAGCAAAGTTTGTGGTCAATTTCAGAGACACGCTGGGAGCAGCTGATCTAACGGAGCACATACCTTTGACTGAGCTTTGACTAGCTGCAGACGGATGCATGAACTGAGCAAAAAGAACTGCTGGAAGATTAAAGATTCATCTTCACCATCAGGAGACAGTTGGATGGGTGTGATGACATATCCTTGCTGTCCTTGGGAGTGCACAAAATGGATCAGGTTTGGGAATGAAGAATCACTTCCTCTGCACAATCTACACCAGAACAAAACAGAACAATTGAAAATGACCTTTCAAAAAGTGCAGACATTTATGTGACTATCACCTCCTGAAACAGGCCAAGTCTGTAGCACCTGCAGTTGAGACCATATCAGCAAAGGACTTATGATTTCAACAGCTATTATCATTTTCATAAGAGAACTGGGAACCTCTGTTGGGAACACTTCAGTGCAGCAGCTCAGTGTGGAAAAAATTAAGCTCATAAAGTTCTCAATAAAATTTTAATAGAAGAGGGGTTCATTTTTGACAATTGCTGTTACTGAAGAGGGGGAGAGAGAAATAGATGTACAATAGGTCTGAAAGTAGTTTTGGTTTGAAGTTCTTGACTTGCATTTTCTCCACTCCATAATATTTTCAGTGGCAGTTAATATCATGATTACATGAAAAATGTACCCAAGAGGTACATTTTACATTTTAATATTTTCAATCAACCTCACTTCCCCTTCTCTCCACATGCTTCATTTTTCCTCTCCCTTTCCTTTTTGATGCCCCCTTACTTGAGTAGTGTTCTAGGCAACTGTCCATTCATCCATATAACCCTTCTTGCTATGTAGACTTGTCTTCACACTGAGACCCTTTTCAAGTGCAGTCTGACATCATTTGGTTAGAAATGCTATTATATAAGGAAAATCCATAAATCAGCTATAGGATAATACACATTACTGGTCCTTACCTCTGCTGAATTGAACTGACATTTAAACTTTTATTTATAAGATTTGCTTTTATTTTCTTAGATTACATGATGAGCAGTAAATTTTCAACTGGGCTAAGTTAACAAGTTGACTGCCCATGTCCAGTTAACTAGTCATCAATCGCAGCAGAACCAAAAGCATATTGGTTGGGATGGGCAGTCAATGTGTTAAAAGCCCCTACTCCTTATCAGCCAAACCCAAGACTACTATGTCCTTCAAAGGTAACATACAGTCACATGAAAATTTCATTCAATTTTTTCGTTTGCTGGCACCTATAAAGGGACACTACTCTTTGGTAGTTACCACAAAAAATGTTTGCCCCAATGAAGCACAACACCTTATGTGCACCTTAACTGCCAATTAAGGTGACATTCACTGCATGCTACCTAAGAAAATACTATTAAAAATAAAATAAAAAAATAAGTCATACCTGACTGGTGGGGGATGATGACTTGGGCTCTTCACAAATTTCTCACCAATCTAAAATCATGGTAAAATCATAAGAATCTGAAGCATATGGAAGGGAAAAGCAAATTCACAGTTTCTTTTCTACAGACCCCAAATAAAGAAGAGCTAGAGGATCCTCTATAGTTGGAGAGCTGCAGGCGATGAAGCCGCTCTTCCCTGCGTCCAGTGACACGTCCCTCCTCTCTTAATGTAGCCTTCCACATCCGTTCAACTGAATAAATTTCAGCACAGATTAAGTCATCCAGCATCTCTGAAAAACAGCCTTGCAAACATTGGAAATTCAGAATCACTTGAGGAAGTGCTGTGATGGTGTGAGGGAGGATGAGCCCTGGAGCTTAAGGAAAGGGGATAGTCAAGAGATGGTGCTGAGACAGCTGATACCAAGCTCCGTCTCTCTTCCTTCTCTGGATCTACATCTTGGGTGAGAAGATACAGGACATTTGCATTAAACAAGTAAACTACATATGCTTCCAGGAACAAGATATGGAGACTTGAAAACCAAGCAGAATATCCACAATGAAACTTTGCAGGACTCACCTGATTCTTTGGACTTTTTTCTCCTTTGGATGAGACTGACTCGCTTGGAGGGAGTGCCTTTCTTCTTGGACTGGTTACATGCTAAAAGGCCCTTCTCAAGACTGAAATAAAAAGGTAGTGGGCTTAACCCAGGGTTGTGTAACTAAATACCAACTTATTCTGAAAAACTGAAATATTTCATAGCTTACCTTGAATTCCAGATAAGGTGGAGCCCAAGCTGTTGTATATCCCTTAATGTCTTTAAAGCCTCATGGATATAGATATACTCAGGTCCTCGACCATCTTCCCATTCATATGTGAAGACCAGATTCTCCAATATCACAGCTAGCAATGACTGACCCTAGGCCCATTCAAATATAAATAATCAATTACCATAAAATAATTTTCCTCCAAATCTTCAGCAATCAGGCAAAAGTTCTGCAACTCACCAATCCAACCACTTGGAGATATAACTTGGGCTTTTGCAGGGAAGTCCAGATGGCCATCTGACTAACAGAGTGATGGGTGGTCAGGCCCAGCAGACCATTCCAGTGGAGATACATGTGGACAAGTCGTGTCAAGTCTGCAGGTAGGTGGCTTGTGATCATGAGGCCCTTAAGAAGTACAAAGTAAAATATTCAGTTGCATGAAATTTATTATCAATTGGTGGAGCACTTCTTAACATGCTCACTTGAGAAGGGACTTACTTTATGAAACAGGACTGAACCTGTTATAAAAAACTCTCGCTTCCAATCAGTCCCATATTCCTCCTGAAAAACAGCAATGTCATTTTCTGGTGGTGAACCAAATTGACAAAATTATAGCATCCAAAATTCTTTCAAGATTGAAGAAACTTGCCAGAAATTCCCATGCAGCACCCTCATAGTGATGAAGCACATCATCTGTCTGTGCCTGAAAAAGATAATTCTAATAAGTTTCAAATTTACACTAGCCAGATTATACAAGTAGAGAAATGCAAGAAAAAAAATCCTTAAAATCATACTTATGTTCATTATAAATTTTTTTCTTCAAAGATTTAGGCCAAAGGCAAAGAGGTAAACTACACTGCATCAACAGCAATCACTGGTCATAAACGTCTCTTCTCTTGACTGCTCCCTTCTCAAATCTAATATCTTCCACTTTCCAGTACATATGAACTGACTGTATATATACCGTAACATGAAGGTGGTGCGTATACAGTATGAAATCCACCAATCTAAAGAGACAGACTCACCTTGACATCATATTCCAATGGAAGGACTGCAGGACAGTCTGAGAAGATGAACCTTGGTAAATGGGCAGATGATGACAATGGACTTGCATTGAGGATGGAATGGTCCAACTGATTGGATAACATTTTCAAATAATTGTCAGCAACACCCTGACCTTCCTTGGAACTCAAAGCACTGCAAATTAGAAAAAATGTGAACAGAATTTTTGAGATGACAATGCCACAAGGAGAAGGATTACTCCCAGTTCTTAGCTTACTTCGTTGTAGAGCTGAAGTGCCACACGAACAGTTCCAATAGGCATCTCATCCATTCCAGAAGTTTCTCTCTTCTGGAAAGTAAATTCATACCATATTCACACATGGAATAGATTTGAATATATACCAATGAGGGCTGTAAAGAGACCAGAACCTGAGGATATTGACATGACATGAGGATGTGCAAAGGACAGATCTTCCCTCCACATGCAAGAAAACATCCATGAGCTCTCTCTTGCCATCACCAGGAATATCCAGTAAAATGCTGGGAGAGAAAAATTTCACACATTGTTTCCACCCATTGAAATTTCAAATTTAATGCAGAAAGAAACTCACTGATCAGGATAACACCCCATGATATCTTTCATAACAAAAGGAAGTGTAAGGAACGTTCCTTTTATCTTGCTCAAAATGTCCACATCACCGTCATGGATTACTTTTGGAAGGGAATACAGAGTTCGGTTTCCTTCTCCAGCAATGAAGAGGGTTTTCACTGATGAAGAATGCCTCCTCCCTTCTGTCTTTGGGTCTTGAAAGGCTTTGACCACTTCTTCTGTCTGGTGAAAGTGAATGGTAATGATTTTAACATGAAAATGACTTTTCTATATCATAATTGATGAAAGTCATAGTGAGACCAACCAGATGCTCCACATGCTCAACTCTTTCAGGTAGTCCTCCATTGAAGGCATGTAGTGAAGGTTTCACCCTCATAAGGCTGAGTTTGACCTGTAAGAATGGCATTGCTGATGGTATTCTAGATAAAGAAAATGCTGGAGGAGAGAGAACACTATCTACCTTCTTCTGTCCAGCTTCCATTACATCTCTAAGAAGATGGTTCAAGTTTCTCTTTGTCAGAGGGATGGAATTGATGGCCATTACAATATCACCAATTTTAACCTTCCCTTTCTTTACAAGGGATTTCTTCGCAGGCAGAATCTGAGAAACTTCAACATGTCCACTTTCATGCTCAATTAGGGAGATCCCAAGTACTTTCTCTGCAAGTACATCTTCATCTGCTGGTGTCCATTTCTGTTGGAGCTTCTTCAAGTGAACCCAAACTTGCTTCTCTTCACTAAGCTTTTCATCAGACTGCTGACTACAGGTACCTACAAAAGGTATACAACTGATGATCTGAAGAAAATTTCAAAAAGCAATCTTGTTCAATAGAGATTCCAATCAGTTACATTTTAAAATGTGAAAGGAAGTTGATACTTACTTTTTGATACCTTAGTAGGTACCTTCTGCACGTAGAAGAGATTACCTTTTTCATCAACATGATCATCCCAAATGGCCTCTTCAGTGCAAGACCTAGAACACACAAGAGAAGGAAATAATGACAATACCAAGCCTCTTTCCAGTCTCTTAAAATTAGAATTAGTTTTATTTGGCCCATTTTATTCAATACATATATAGAATGGAAAATGAATACACTGATATCCTAAATAAAAGTTATAATTTCTTATCAACTTCGGTCTGAGTGAAGCTTATGTGGGCATTATTGGATTTTTCAATTGAAATGTGATGCTGATTTTACATGTATATATGCATATTCCTATTCTCACTGCTTGTTGAAAGCAATATCTTCTGCCAGAGTAGAGAAAAAATACCGAACAATATGGAACATAATTTGTTAAAATATTTGCAATCTTCAGACATCTGCAGATAAAAAAAGACCATAAGTATCCAAAAGTCTGGGGGTGTTGGGGCATTGTGGGAAGTAATTTAACATGAAAACAAATATGTTCTCAGTCACCACAAAATTACAAAACAAAAAAATTGCTCCCACACAGGAGAAGAAGCAGAGAGCCAAAAAATTCAGGGCATCTACTCAAACTGCCTCAAAGTTAATAACTTACCACAAGAACTAAAGCTATCTTAACTCAACAATGAGGAAGAAGCTCCAGGCCTAACAACTTCACTCATACAAAAGACATAGATTCACTGATGTATGGATAATTTATTGCAGAGTAATCTCAATTTTTCCTATTTTTACTTTATTCTGTTAGTGAAGAAAGGACAACAGGAGGCTATTGATACAAGTGATCTCTTCAATGTCAAGATACCATGTTTGTAATGATTAATAGAATATATAGAATAGAATATATTTTCCACATATTTGCAGATAAGGAACAAAGATGAAGGTTAAGACAATGACAAAGATAAAAGACAATGCATAAATAAATAAATAAAAGAGAGAGAGGGGGGGGAAAGAAAAAAAAAGAAGCAAATAGTGGCAATAAGGCCATTCATTGAATGGTTCCTCCTGAATGGCCGGGTTGGAATGCAAAAAAAAGATAATATTATTTGATTGATTGAATGTATTGCCTTTTTGTTTTTTGTGTGGTTTCTTTTATTTATTTATTTTATTTTTCAGGAATCCAGTCAGTCTAACCAGCCTGAAAGGAACTGTTTTCTATTGTGGATTCTTTTCTAGAAAATAATTTAATAATTTAGCTTCAAAGATTTGAATTGATTTTGCAGCCCTTATATCCTCGGGCAGTAGATTAAATTTTCTTAGTCCTTCTTGCGTGATATTTTGTTCTACAAATTTTGTCTTTGTTCTAGGTATTTGAAATTTTCCTGCTTTAAATGCTCTAGTTTCATAAGAGTGGGAGTCAGCAATCCTGGTTAATTTTAGGTTTCTAACATTAAGAATTACACTTTCTTGGAAAATGATTTGACAAAGATGAAACTGAATTAATTTTCTTAATGGCAAAATTCTCCAGAATAGAAAGAGATCTTCAGTATGGTCTCTATTCTGCAAAGCTTATGATCTTAAAGCTTCTTTTTTGAAGTACTTCTATATTTTGCAAATACTTTTGATGTGTATTACCCCATATTGATATGCAGTAAATTACATGAAGATGGATTAGTGTGAAGTAAATGTTTCTTAAGAGTGACCATGGAAGTAAGTGGTGTACTTTACTCATAACCCCATTAATTACAGCTATTTTTGTGCAGATTTGGTGTATGTGTTTGTCCCAAACAAGGTTTCTGTCTAGAATTACCCCCAAATACTTTATTTGATCTACTTCTTGCAGAATTTCCCCATCCAAGGATAATCTTACTCCACCTATTCTAATACTTTTCCGACTTTGTATCACCATAAAGTTAGTTTTTTAATATTGATTGTGAGCCGGTTTGCCTTAATCCATCTGCTCAGATTGTTTAAGTCTTTCTCCACTCTAGTTGATAACTCTAAAACATTTTTCCCATTGAAGAAAACATTTGAGTCAACTGCATATAATTTTAAGTCTCCTTCCCTTAAAGACTTATACATATCATTCACATATATGAGATAAAGCAAAGGACCTAGACCCTGAGGAACTCCCACATTGACCAATCTTTTAATGCTTCTAATTCCATCAAACTCAACATACTGGTACCTATTATCTAAGTAACTTTGAAACCACTGTAGTACTATACTATACCTAAGTTACCTTGTTTGTAAGAATAAACATTAACTTGGAAGGCAAAATGAAAACTGGAAAACTTGTAAGCTTGTAATCTTGCAAATAAAAAAATTCTTAGAATAAATATCACAAATAATCTTGAAGTTCTCATAACTCCAGCAAATAACTATGCCTACCTCTTAATGGAAAACATTTGACTTCTTTTTCAAGCAAAACTATGATTTTTTTCATACTTACATGCAGCTGCCAGAATCTGTGCATGTGGAACATAAGGAAGCCATGGATGATGTGCTCTCACTGCAAGTTGAGCAATCCTCCACAGATGTAGAATCATCATCAGACACTTCAGGGTAGGAATGAGTTTCTATGGGAAGGGCATCATTTGGCAAAGGCATAGGCCATCCATTGCCATTCCATGCTTGAGATGATGTTGAAGCTCCTGCTGATGTGCTCTGAGTGATGCTCTGTTGAACTGGTGTCCCATGTTTTTGGGATCGACTCCAGATGCCCTTTTTTATCTCATGCCCACTCATGGCAAGAATGGATTCCCTAAAAAGTAAAAGGATCCATTTTCAACTAAGCTGCAGGATGTTTCAGCCTCAGCTAAGAGTATATGACTTTGAAAACACTCCATGAGACTAGGGATATTTTAAAGTTGTGTTGCTTCCTGCCTTTTTTCTTTTCTCTCTCTCCCTCCCTTCCTCCACTTTAGCAGGGCTTTCATAGGCTGTGTCCCACTCTTGTGCCCTCATTTCAATTAAGAAATGAAGAAAGAAAAAGAAAAAAAATTAAAACTGAAAACAATAAGACTAGTATCCACAAATGCACCTTAGTTTTACAGGGAATTACATTTTGCTGAAGCTCACCATTACAGCTCCAAGTTGGGAACCAGCAGCATTAAGGAGCTAATTGAAAAGTTTTGTTAATGCCTAGCCCCTATTAATGTTCATTTGTGAATGTGGCAACCAATAACTTTCGCTTAAATTTGGAATTACGTATTCCGAACTACAGCATTTGATGTGAAATAGGAGAAGATTTCATTGCAGCTAAACAAGTCACATAAACAGTGTCTTCCAGACTTTCATTATAAAAGCATGGGATGAACTGAAATGACCATGCTGTCAATATTAAGAACTTCTCTGCTTTGATTCTAGTTTCAGTATATTGAGAATCACGAAGTCTTTGGTGAATGGCTTGCTGCTACTGGTCAAGTAAGCCCACATGTAGCAGGGTTAAACATAAGAAACCAAGCTGGAAAAGCACAAAGCTACGAAATTCATAATATTTAAAACCTTACCATTAAAGCCGGGAAGTGTCAGAGCGAAAAATTGCTGCATGAAAATGAATATACAGTAGACTTTCCAGCGGATGGACTCGTGGGAGGGACGGGTGCATCCATCTTGATCACGTAGCCAAACATCAAATATGGCGCTTCCATGTGTCTGTTGTACTGTTGGCGGCGATTCTGCTCATCCTCTTTAGTAGTGCCGTATGTATGAGTGTGCTTCTACTTTGATATTCCCTTTCCATCCTCAATGGGATTCGTGGCAGTGGCAACATGAACGAAAAACGAAAGGTGCCTCTGAATACACTTGGTCCTTTGAAGAAGGACAAGGACAAAGCTAAGGAGAAGAAAATTTCTCCTGTTAAAGCATTGAGGTTCTCGTTAGAGTTGTCGGAAACGACGGACACGTCATGTCCCATATTCATCTACCGGGATCTCCTAGGAACAGCCATGGTGAGGGCCAAAATCTGGCTTAGACTAGGCTGAAATTGTATGGTGTGGCTTATTCTTAGGGTGGGACTACAGGGTTCCTTATTATACACCTAAATCCATATTCCAGGGGTCCTTATTATGTACCTAACACTGCCTATAACTTGCACTTTCCTTGGAAAGCCCCTATATATTGTTTCACAGACCCATGAAACTAACAAGTGTGAAGTTCACTGCAGTGAACTGCCCCAAAACTACTCTTTAACACTCAACATTAAGTCTATATATGTGATAGTTTCATTAGGTGTAGGTCTATTTTGTATGCTGTCAATGTGGAAAAGCTATAGACCTCAGAGGCAGAACCTGAAGTACTTGAAGAACAGGCAAAAGGGTTTATCAATGATTAGGAGGATCAAATATAATCCCCCCTCCCCCCACAACAGGGCATGCAATTGAAAAACAAATCACCCCACATGGCTGGTACCATCTGAGCAGTGTTGCCTTGGGTTACACTAAGTTACAGATTAATAACAACACAATAACCACCAAAGTATCTGGAGTTGCCATTAACATCTCATGTCCAACTGTTGGCCTGTTCATTGAGTCTAGAAGGGGCTATGATCAGAATTGTGGGACTCATGTTGTCACTTACATTAAGGTGGGACCATTACCTCTCACAGCATGTGCTTCTTTAGCTGATCCAACAGGAACCTGGTCAGATTTTGGCATGCTATGTTCTCAGCCACACTACGTCCTTTTTCATCCATTATTGGGCATAAAGACAATGGAAGTGGTGAATATGATGGGTCCTCTTTCAGAAATCACAACTCCTAGATGTTACAATAAGCCCATTTCACAGATATGCATGCATTTGGAGTGAGTGCATATTTTGCATGAGACACATGGATATATTAAGAATTTTAGGATACAATTGAATGCAGCTCCATTATAATAATATAGAGGAAATTAGCTGATCCAAAAAAATTATATAAATTGAAGTAGGATAATTTATGAGAGCACTAATAATAATAATAAATAGAAAGAATATTGGGAAAATTGAGAGAAAGCAGAAAGAAGCAATAAATAATGGACAGGTATCAATATTGACATGCATAAAGAGTGTATTTTTAAGGTTTTTAGCATCCCTATTTTAGGGAAAATTTGTAGTTACAGTTTTAAGTCTTTTATTTTTTCCCTGCCAATCAGTGATGACTTATCATTTTAGAGTGAGAAAATAGAAATAATCAGCTTCTCTAAGTGCCAAAAATCTCTAGGTTAAAAGTTATGAAAACTGTATGAGTTAGTATGATAGGTCTTTCTTAAAAAATAAATATGTAATCAATTTCTTTAACTTCATCTTTTCTAAAGTTTATTTTTATTTTGCTATTTTTTTTCTTAATATAAAATGCCTCAGCCATATTGAGGAATATGGGGTTCTCAAGAATGCTAGTTCCTCTTTGCCAAACTAAAATTTAGCACTATCCAGACATGCAGACTGACAAGCCTAGTTCTTGTTCACATAAAAAGAATGGCTTATTCTTGTTAAGAAGTTGGATAGAGCTAGAAGAGTGGTGGAGAAATATAAGTCTTTACTTTCCCCCATTTCATAGTTTTTTTATCTTTAGATATAATTTTTTATTTGTCATCTTCATCTTTTGCATCATTCATTCATTCTTGAAGTATTCCTCTTGGTATGGATGATGAAGGAATCAAGGGAAATGCTGCAAAATGGAAAGCATTTCAAGATCTTCAACAAGAAAATAAACAAATTATAACTTCTCTTTACCTCCTAATCAGAGCTCTGCAGGGGCAAATTTTCCAGTACCTGACCTAATAGGCCCCATTCAAATCATCGCCCACACCCAATCCGAAACCCAAATTCCAACCCAACTTCATTGCCTGACTTGACTCAACCTGAGCTAAAATTACACACTTCAACCTAAGCTTTCCTGTTTATTTCCTCATTGTCCAAAGTTGCTATGCAAAAACAGGAGGTTGTTGACTGACAGGAGAAAATTCTTATAAGAGAAGGAGCCATATGGATTCTGGTCTTGAGTGGCACCAACACCCCCATGCCAGGCTCAGATTTTTCTTTTCTTCATTTACATTAATGGTCACACAATGAAGTAATTTTCTTCGCTCAGATTACATGCATAAATAAGATTCCAGTCACACAATAAAATAATTTTAAAAGTTAAGAAAAAATGTGGCCTGAGATGTTACATTCTGGAGAAGGATTGTGGGAATTTCAGCCCTAGACAGCCCATGGGTACAGTTGGGTTGGGTCAGCCTGCTGTCATGCAGGGCTCTGCATATTTTTGCAATCTCTGATCTTCTAACCTATACTATTGGTAATAGATCATTGCTTCGGAAAAATGTTGATTCATTGATATACCAGTTGGCCAACCATGTCCAATGGTAAAATTGAATGGAGACAGTTTCTAGGCCTGTTGAGCTTCACATGAATTTTAGTCTTGGTCTTCTCATTAAGAGTTAGGCAGGATTAATCAGAGGTTAGCACAACAAATGCCAAATTCTTATCTCAATTCTGCTTCTCCCCTTCACCACTTCTTACTTTATTCCTGTATTGATAAGTCTAAACCCTCCCTCTACTTTCTTCTTTCACTGACCAGTCTTATCATTTCATTTGCATTGCAAATATAGATGTCAATGCTCTCCACATCTACCAATGCATTATAATGTCAAATGTTACCATCAATTCTGCAAACTATTGACAGGTACATAGGTGCAAGATTGGTGGGTGACAGCTTACTTTAGAGTATCACTATTGCTAACCACACATAGATATATGTATTGTTAAATAACCTTATAACACTCCATAAATCCATCATGACTTAAAACCAGTAGCACCCTGTAGTTGCTAATGATAATTCATCTTAAAATGTCTCAGAAATCCATTTGGAGCTAAAAAAAAACATGCCCTCAGAAATCATGAAGTGAATTCTTCAGAGACCTGCATTGATATTCTCTCTCTCTTTCAGAAAAAGGAGAAGCAATTGCAAAATGGCCTTGTAGGGAAAAGTGCCTTCAGTGATGAGGAGGAGGATGAAGAGAAGCTTAAGGAGATTGCAAAGAAATTCGAAGAGAAATATGTAAGTCAAATATGCTATTAGGTTATTACGTTTTGCCATGTTCTTATACTGACCCAGTCAATTGACAGTTCCAAAGATACACTTTCTAATGTTCGTTCTGAAAGATAACTGACAAGTCTCCAGCAAAAAATACTGAACATTGTAATTAATAAGAAGATCCTGAATCATATAATCATAAAAAATTATAATGTTGTAAACTTTAAGAATCCCATAGCTTTCTAGTGCCTGACAGTACAGAATTGTAGTGCATGGGCTTTTTCTACATAATTTACCACCCAAAAAACTCTTATTCATGCTTATTAATGAACTCCAAATTTATTGAATTTCTGTTTTCTGAGATGACTGAGCCAACCAAGTTTCTTCCATAAATTTCCAGAATTTTTATGCTTAGAAGTCACTTGATTGGTGATGCCTTGCAGCAAAGACTGTCATATGTGAGTTTCCATATGCTAGCTTGCCATGATTAAACAGTAGAACTCTTTCTTCAATGGTAATGACATTTTTGATTGATATCATTTAAAATTTTGCCATTTTATTAATAAAAATGATTGGGGGTTCCTAAGAGTCAATATGTGCTGGCACAAAATTGTAGTTGAAGCAGAGTGAGATATTGATGGAGTTGTTCATGACATCCTATTTTATCTTGCAAAACTTGCTCTGCCATTCTCCAATAGAATGACTCAGAACAGTCTTGTGATCAAGGCCTTATGCCCGATGGCCTCTTTCACCTAGAGGCAAGCTTACAAAGTCTTGTTGATTTCAGTGACAAAAATTGATGTGACTGGTTGTTTTAGCTATTTTTTTTTATGTGTTCCTACTTCTTACTCTTGCTTTTCCCTGAAGGGTGGTGGTAAGCATCGCTTGGATAATTATGATGATCTTGGAGATGGCTACGATGAGTCAGACTCATTCATTGACAACACAGAGGCTGTGAGTTTTATGCCTAGTTTTATTAGGCATCATAGGGCTGCATGGTTTTTCTTTATGAGTAAAGTCCTATTACCAACCAGCAGTATCATGAATTTTTTAAATGTATTGTTTCAAGACCTAGGTAGGTCTAATGGCAGGCAGTCCCAATCACCATGCCCCCCCACCCCCACACAGCTAGGAAGGGACCTGCCTTTAAGAATTACCAGTTTGAATTACCATTCCCTTTTCCCCATTTATCTTTGAAAAAAAGGTGCTACTGCAACCCAATATGGATTGTGGTTGGCAGCATGGACTCTCTTCTATCACCCCAGCAAGACTCCTGCAAGAGTTTTGATATGTTTATGCTTAATCAAAGAAAATGATGGGGGTTTTTCAATAGTACTTTTTGTAATCTTGAGCAAGGAATTCTAAGTAATGAGGAGAGAGCTCCATGGCCATGCAACACGCAAAGATAAGCACCTCTGGATTTCACCTGAATATTCCTCAAAGATCAGCTGCATGGAAACCCTACTGGCCTAACAGCATGTCCTAAGCACATTAAGCATCTCCTAAAGTTCTGCATATTATAGATACAAAGGATAGCTGCAATTTTGCATTGAATCTAGTAGTGATGTGATGTTAATCATTGCAGATTGATGAGCTCTTGCCTGCTAACCTGTCTCCCCTTCATGGTGGTTTTTACATAAATTGTGGGAAGTTACAGTTCAGGAAAGTGGATCCTAAGGCCACTGCAGAAGCTGACTATACAAGATCTGCTCAGAGGAAGAAGGTATATATGTCCAGCCTTTGGTTGCTGATTTTATTCTCAGGAAAAATTCACATCATGATGGTCTGGAAAATTTTTTATATGACCATCCATCATATGCTGGAATTTTTTCATTGCATAATTTCAGATTCGAAGAATATCAAGCTCTTCTTCTGAGGAAAATGAAGCGAATGAAGAAGCAAAGGAGAGTGGAGATGAGGAGAAACTTGAGAATGCACGGGAAACAATGCTAAAATCAGTTGTGAGAGATGGAGAGAATTCTGTTTCTTCTATATCCTCTGCCAAGAAGAAAAAACTTTTCCTGGTGAGAAAGGAATCTTTCTTTGATCTTCTTCTTAGGAACATGATACTCATTAAAATCCTATCTTGCAGAAGCGGCCACATGCTGGTGAAGAGTATAGAAGTATCAAAAAGAAGAAAATCACAGAAATGTTGAAGAAGAAAAAGAAGAAACAGACCTTGTCTGTCCGGGAAATGCTTGAGAAGAAGCGTACCAATTCTTCTGGTATGAATACTGACCCACGTCAGGTTCTTCTCAACATCATTATCTTTAGATGTGTTTATACTAGACTGTTGCATTTCCTCAGCAGAAAATGACAAGGAAGGCAAACCTAATGGGCTGTCAGAGGAGAAAAAGAAGGAGAAGGAAGCTGCTATTGATGAGACCATTGAAAGTGTGGTGAAGGCAGCTCATAATAAGACTGTCATTACACCTACTAGTATGCCTCCCAAAAATGAGACTCCTGAATCTCCTCCTATGACTCCTCCACCTGGTATGTTACCCCTTATTTTTGAAATTCTGATTGCAGTTTCTGTATAGGATAAAGGATATTGTGCTTTTTTGCATATTTAGTATTGAAGAGGGAGACTGTAGCAAAATCATTAAGTGAATCTGAGTCAAGTTCTCAAAGTGTCAGCAGTGAAAGTCATTCAGGAGAAGGAGAAGAAATCAAGCCAAAGCCACAGTCTCCTGCCCCCATAGTAGCATTACCTGAAAAATTGGCTCCAGAGATTTTGGAGATTGTGGAAGATCTGAAGGGTTCAGAAACAGTTTCTCCTGAATTTCAGAAAATACTTTTAAGGTGAGCAAAATCTGGCTAGTCAGCCATTCCCTTGGGAATTTTTGCATTTGACCAGTTGTGCAGAGATAGGTTTGGTGATAATTTCATATATTGGATTAGGTTGGAGAAAGCTGTGAAGTGGATGGATGTGGAATCCCGGAACCAGGTCTTTTCCCATCTTGGAGCCATGATTCAAGGGTGCAGTGCTGAAGGACTCATGAGGCTGGGAATCCAATTGTACAAGGAGGAAAATGACCGAAGACTCCAGCTACCCCTTGATCGGTCAGTTTTTCTGTCAATTTTTATCCTGGAAATTTTTATCAGGCTGCATGTACTTGGACTGCTGTATCCTTCACAGGCTGAAGCGTGCGATAGAGACTGTGATGCCTGATTTAGTGAAGAAGCATGCTGAAGAATGCAAGGCTGCCATGGAATCAGCTGCTGGATTGTGAGCTATTTCTTCTTACCCTGATCTCATTGCTCATTCACAACTGAGCATACCATGTTGAGGCTGTTTTTTTACTTCATCAATAAATTTGAAAATTCATTGGCCATGCTTTGCTGTCACATGCAGTATCTTGAATTTATTTGGAGTCACAAAACATGAATAAGTAGGAAGGACCTGCATTAACTTCACATCTGTCTTTGTCACTCATTGGTTCAGACACGATTTTAGTATTGGTTACTGAAAGACTTGAAGATGTTTTGCATGGTTGAATGTATCTTTGAGTGACAAGTATCCTGTGATTGGGTATAAGATTTTATTCAAGGTCTTATTTATTTATTTCCAACAGGGAGGTGGGGAGTGGAGGGGATGAGGAAAGTGGTGGAGAAGGAGGTGGCAAGGAACCTAGAAAGAAGAAAATGCCTCGACGAAAGTTTGAATGGACCGATGAAGTCAGGTGAGACGTATACCTCTGGTATTTCCTCTTTTTTTTTATCATTACTGCCTAAGTTATGCTGCTTTTTTGTTTCCTTGTGCTCACTGACTTTCATTGTTGAATGCATTCTCTTTTTTGCAGGGAGTTATTTTTAGATGTTATGCGGATTCGGGTGAAGATGTTTGAAGAAGAGACACCTGTGAATGTCACAGCCGAGGAGTACCTGAAGGAGTTCCTTGAGATTCATATCAAGCCATTGTGGCCCAAGAACTGGATGAATTCCAGAGATTTATACAAGGAATCTCGAATCACACATGCTCATCTCACGTCAGTTCTGTTTCCTTCTACCCGTGCTCCATACCTGGATTTTTTTTCATGCAAATGTTGAATTTTTTTTGGTAGGTCACGGCACAAGAGAACTGGAACTGGGCGGGGGAGAGGTTCCCACAGTGTTAGGGGATCGGCTCATTGTGCTCTTAATACTTCCCCTGCTAGGGTATCATCAGATGAAAATGAACAAGCCACTACTAACACTGCTGCTACAGAGCTGCTTGCTGTCTTCTCTCAAGAAATCCTTCGTAACATGGTTTCTGGTATGCCCTTGAGTGCGTCTTGTTTTTGTTAAATTCTATTAGGACAAACTCATAATTGCTTGCTGATTCTTACCTAGGTGACCTGCTGAAGAGCCAACAGTTGGCCCAAGAGGCACTTAAGTCTGTGTTTGGGAGGACAGCAGCTCAAGAAGCAGAAGCTTCCAAGTCTTCCCCCCCTGTGCCTGCTTCCATTCCAGCTCCAATTCCTCCTCCTCCACAATTGTCTCCTCAAGTGCCAGTTCGAAGTGGGACTTCCAGTGGTCACGAAACCACACCCGAAACAAGTCCCTTGAAAGTGAGTCCATATGCTGGAGCTGGTGATGCCAGCAATGCCAAAGTTTCCCCACACAAGAGTCCATCTCATCACATAGAGCTGAACAAACCCTGCCCAAGTTCGAAAATCACTGAACAGCAACCCAATTTGTTATCCATCACCCCCCAACAGAAATTATCATGCTTTGAAGAGGTCTTTAGAGCATCTGCACTTGGTGAAGCCATCACAAAGACCAAGGCACAACCCATGGCTGATCTCCTTAACATGACTCACTCCCAGAGCTCATTACCCATTTCCTCATGTAACCAAACAACAGTGAATTCCTCTACAAACATCTTGAATGCTTCCCCACGTTTAGGGAATACAGAAAGTTTTAAAGCTCCCAGTACAATTTCATCTCACAAGCAGGCCCCACCTCAAGTTTCTTCAACAGGCAACACCTATGTGACTCCTCACACCATGTCAACCACTTATCAGACCTCCTCTCTGTCTGTGAATGCCAAAGTGATGCCTGTATCAGCACATTCTCAAGTCCAAAGAAGTCAGAAGGTTCTTCCATTCATCCATCATGAGAAGGCCAGTAGGCCTGCAATTTCTCCTCTGTCAGTGCAGTCCGCTTCCTTGGATCTCAGTCAACATGGACAAATGAGAACACAGCCAGCAGGCAAGTGTTCACCAAAACCTTTGGCTGAACCACAGAAACAAAAAGCAATGGACTTCTCCATAAAGAAGAGTGATTCCCCATCCTTCCCTGTTTTGGCCCTAGACTCAGAGCTGAATTTTGTTGGGAATGCCTTAAACGTTGTGGTGCCAAAGATGTCCAATGAAGCTCATATGTCTGAATCTCGGCCATCATCATCATCATCATCAACTGTGGCAGTGGTTCAGCCAATGAATGCTTGTGTGACTCGTACACATGCCCAGTCAGTCAATACCCCTACTGCTGATCTGCTCAGCCAAGCAGTGAACTCTTGCATTGGTACCAACTGGGAATCATCTAGTGGAACAGTTCCCACTGCCAAAGTTACAGATGCAGGCCACTGGCAAAGGTGGCAGCAGCAGACAGTAAAACCAGACTCATCGGTCACATATCCGCCAAAGAAGGCGTATATGTTTGATATGAGCCAGCTCATGGAACGAGAAGTCACTAATCTTATGACTGAGCCCTCAGAAGGCCTTGCTCAGAGGATACCCAACAACCCTACCATTCATCAGTCCTACAATGTCACTAGTGGTTATCAGAAGGTGAGCCCAACTTCTACCTTGTGCCATCCATTCCATTCCCATCTTTGGATCTGCTTTATTATCCACAATTGCTTTATCTGCTGATGGGATTTCCAGAAAATTCTGACTAGTGAAATTCATCCATTCAGGTGGTCCAAGCAACTAATCAAATTTGGCAAATGTGCTCCACATACCAGGAAGACAATCTATGTAGACATACAGATCTTGTAGGAGGTTTCATGATTCAATTCTTGATAGTGGTGACTATAAACCTGATTCATTTGGCTTTGTGAACTTGGAGAGGCAAGAATTATTCTAAATTCAAGTGGTCACCTGATCATCTTCCCTATCCAGTGGCCTTCATGACTGAGCTCTACTCTACCCTTTGCATATCAGATGAGAGGGGAATTGTGTTGTTTCTAAGCATATGCAGACCATTATCTAGTAACAAGTTTGCCTGATTGCTGAAGTTGAGGAGAAATTCGAAGGGGAAAAAGTGGCATGGAAATTTCCAATGCCAGTATATATATTTACAAGTCTGGGAGTCACAAGGTTTCTTTTGGATAAGATTTACTCAGATTCTGTGTGTCTTTTGGCCAACTCACTATGGTGGCATGTTATGAATGCTTCAGGTTTGCATTCCCTGCTCCACATGCTAAAGAAATACTTCCTTGATTGAAAGCTTCCTTCATGTTATCTGAAAGCCCTTAAGTCATGATATAGCTTGACCTTAGTGAATGTTAATTATTGATCTTCTGGCATTCCTACTCTGAACTGTGATGTTCCAGTTCTTATATGGCCATATGGTAGGTTCCTTTATGCATCGTTGACTCATTGAAGAAGGCCATTATATCCAACTGATTCAAATCATTGTCAATTAGATGCTCAGTGTCCTTTAGTCAGTGAGAACAAGAATCTTTTGAGTTTGCTTGTTGTCATGAGGAATTAAGGATATACTTGGTTGAAATGTGCATTGTTCTGCGTGTTCTTTGTGCTTGTTTTTGGGGGACATTATCATAAAATTTGGGTAGTGGTTCTGCTAAGATGCTTTTAATTTCAGAAACTTTTGGTTCATTTAAACAGGTATGCAGTATTCTGAATGCAAGTTCTTGTGTTGGTGTTAGTTTTGCAGTTCTGAAGCATGAGAACTTGTAATATTTGTGAGAAACTTAAGTTTCTAAGTGTATATATTGGCCTAGGTTCTTTTTTTTTTTTAGAAAAAGAAATCAAACATTGACATTCTCTAACCAGTCTATTTTTCTATGGGTGACTTTCCTACTTTGGTCTTTAATATTGTATTTGACCTCCATTCTAGCATGTTCATCATAGCAGTGGATCTGAAACAGGGAACAGCAGTACCTACCGCACTTCTTCCCCATTCCATCTTCCATCTCCTCGAGATGGTGAGATCTCTCTTTCTCATGAGAGGGACATCTCTGTCCCAGTTCATCCTTTTCTTTGTTACATTCCATTTTGCAATAAAGGGCAGTAACTTTATGTTCCTATTCCTCTTACATTACAGGGCAACCTCCATCTCACGGGATGTTAAATCGCCACTCTCCTTCCCATGCCACATCAACAGTGCTTCAAAGGTGAAGTCTCATTGTGATTGTTAGCAAGGTTATCATAGCATTGTTTTTCCTATAATCTTTCATGTTTTCAGTATGAAAATGATTATAAGATGACACAAAGTCTTTCTTGTCAAATGTCTAATTGAGGGTATAGGTCTTGCCATGAATATATCTTTATGATGACCTCATGACTGTTATTTTTTCTTTTCACTAATAGGCATCAGAGTGATCCTGGAAGTGCTAATATTCCCCATAACTTGTACTCAAGTGCATATGCCACCAGTACCTTCAGTTATGACCAATTGGTCCACAGTGGACAGGTGAGCATCATTTTTCCAATTTTGCAATGACTGTCTTCAGTATGACTGAAGCTACAAAATGACAAAAAATGCTGAAGTCAGTGATGTTGTATAGAGGGATCTTATGGAAATATCATCATGCATGACCTACCAAGAGGCATTTTTAGGTTGAAAAGGAGGCTTCACAGAAGTCACATCTAGTAAATTGTGGCTTATTCCATATTCCAAAATACATCCATTTTGCTCTCCCACATCCCACGTTTGTTTAGGCATAAACATCTCCTAAAAAGGAGGCATCTCCTTATAATGTATGCACTTTTAGGAAGTTCACTGTTCTTGCAAATTGAAATAAATTCTAATGGAATGCAGCAAGTAGCTTCAACTAACATTGAATCTTTCAAGTGTACTATTGATTCCATTCCAATTCACAGGACTGTCAAATTCTTTTATTTGGCAGTTCAATTTTGTCTAACAATTTTCCATTTGACTATATTTTTCTTGTGAATTATTATTTTTTTTTTAAGTGATCTCCATCCTTTTATTTCAGATTAAAAAATAATAGACTGAGTTAAAGTTGAGCTGACCATGGTAATGTGGCTATTGTATGTCTTGTGAACACCATGTACACCCTGAGTGCCTCATGTGAACACCCACCGTAAGCCTATGTGTACACCTTATAATAGGTGTACATCTATTGTATGATGACATGAACATATTGTCGTTCTCCCTTCCCTGAGTATTCTTATGTGGATGATGTGAATGGCTTGCCATAATCCCTTGTCCATCCATTTTCTTTGTGTTTCTGTGCATCTGCATTGAGGAAGCTTGCACTTATGTTATCTCCGCTATCCCTTCCTGCTCTGTTGCAATTTGCCTATCTTTCCTTGGGGGCAGTATGACTTGTGTCGATTAAATCATATGGCCTGTTGGCAAAAATTATTCTATGAATTCCCATATGCCAAAATGCACACAATACCTTTTTTATTTACCAACCATGGCTTTATCCCATGATTAAATAAACCACCCTGGTGGATGGCATCATCACTTGAAATCAATTGAAATGCTATAGGGGTGCAAATCCAATCCAAAAACGGTACATGACTCAGAGACTCTGTATCAGAAACAGCTTTCCTCAATTCCTCCGAGTGCGCCTCCCCCCCCCCCCACATCCCTCTCCATCATCTATGCCAGCAGCGAGCATAGAAGTTTTACCTTTTCACTTTTTTAGAAACTTTATTGGTATCAATGCAGGCATAAAATATGTAGCATTACTTGATTGTGAGGTCTGGAGCCCAACAATCAAAGCTGTTAGAATGCAGGCAAAAAGCTGGTTTCGTAGCTTCTACATGGCACTTCCCACAAGAAATTGACAAGCTGTCTAAAGTAGTTGGAATCAAAGCTGGCAAATATATTTTAGGCTTCCACCCTTGTACTCTGACTAAGTAATGCTACCTTGGTGTTCACAAGGTGAAGACTAGATGTTAAAGAGAGGTGTACACATGGCGTACATGGTGTTCACAAGACGCACAATAGCCGGTAATGCTTCCCTGTAGCTCTAAGCTGTTCCATCAACCAGTTGTCATAACTTGTTCAAAGGCTGCTATATGGCTTTTTGCCTGCAAAAAGTGTTGACAACCCTTTGTGCTGAAACTTATGCAATCAATTTTGCTCTTAAAAATATAAACGTTTCTGTAGCTGCTTACAAAGTTTCATTAGAATTTATATCATGTTATAGGAACAGGAAACCTTCTGAAAGTGTGCCAATTATGAGAGGCCTTGTATATCCCACCATACGTTATGTTCAGACCTTGTAAATACACTAGAGTTAGGTTGCACTGCTAAATTCTCTCTGGAGACCAGGTTGGATCTGCACTGTGATGTCTACCCCACCAACCTGATCCTATTCAGAATTCATATGCAAGCTTCTGCCTTTGCTACTTGGAGATCTGATAGTAATTACTGGCTTGTGGAGATGGAGTACACTATATGAGCAAGATTGAAATAGAAAGGAATCCAAGAGCCCCTGTCAGGATTTGATGCATGCACTTCAATCCATATGCTGCCTGGAATGAACAATGCAATGAATAAAATTTCACTGCTTTAATTTTCACTATAGTCTTGGTGCATTCCAGTGGTACACATGCCTGAGAAGCACCCATGTATTCCACTTGCCTGATACACTAATACATTCCCTCTATACCAGGGGTTGGGAACCTATGACTTATAAGCTGAAAAGTTTGGCTCATGAAGTCATGGTTGTTTCATTTTTCTCATGTATAAAAGAGTGCATGTGTCTTGTCAAGGAAAAAATCTGTTGTTCTGAAAATCTTTCACTCACAAGCACTTAGCTCAATCTTAATATGACTCACATGGCCAAAAAGGTTCCCTACCCTTGCTCTATACCATTGTCTCCTGCACCTGCACTTGCAAGTGTAATATTACCTCAGTATTACGAGATATAATGGCTGTGGGAGAAAGCTTTGGAAAAGTAGGTTGCTTGAGATTGAGCACTTGCAGTTCCAGACTGGAGGAAGACCAGTTGCAGGAGGAGTAGGGAGAGGGAGAGGCAGGGGAGATGGTGGACTGCATAACCAGCCACATCAGCATCCTGGGTATTTCACGTTCCCTCAACAATCCGTCCAGTCTCAGGGTGATGACAGGAGCAGGCCTTCTGCATCTTACCTTCATCGAGGTACTTGTGCTTCTCTGGAGCAACCATGCATCTAACTCCAAGTGTATAAGGTAGTCTGAGATTGTCTGTCTTTATCTTTCCAGGTCATCCATCCCAAATGCAACGGCACTATTAGTCTTTCTAGTCAAAAGCTCTGGTGTGAGCATTCAGGGGTGGATAATGATTTCCTTGTGTTTTCAGTTTCGATTTTTGTCTTGCCTGTGAGGTCATTGCATTTACCATGTGGTAAGTTATTTCAGTCTTGTCTTTCTTGATTTGATTCTTTTGCTAATAAATATGTATACCCCTGTGAGACTGACTTTTTTTATTTGACTCATTATGAAAAAAAAAGTCAAAATCATTTTGCCTTTAGGACTTTCAGATTTACCTTAGTATTTATTAATATGCTACTATTTGTATCATTTCTTTCCTAGAGTCATGATTCAGACTCTTGGAACCTTGTCTTAGGCATGTATATTTCACTGGCCGCTACTGTTTTCCAGCACAACTGCACCATTGTTTCTGAAGTCACTTTGTTTTGTCACTCCTTGGCCCTGACCTTTGTCCAATTAACATTCTTGCAGGTGACTTGAGTTGCCTAGACTAACATGACAATTGAAATCATTTGGCAGTAAGAGTGTTAAGTAACAGATAGGAAGTGATGGTAGAAAAGATTTTTTTCATGTTGCATAATGTGGGCATCAAATCTATAAATTTGAATTTTATAAGCTATGTTATGCTTTCCAGAACTACTTGCTCAGCATAAATGTCATTTCCAGTGATCAAGACATAGATGCTCCTTCCCTATCACCCTCATTGATTCAAAAGTCTAGGTTCTGTGTTCATTACAGAGCCTATGCCTTCTGGGCATAGAGACAAAGTTGAAGTACTTGGTATTTCATTCCACCCTGATAGCATTTTCAAACCTAAAGGTCCTTTATAAGATAACCCTGCTGTCAGTGATTTTTTTTCTGCCGTCTCAGAATGAGTACCCTTTATGAAGGAGTTGTACTTGCCATCATGAAGTGAGGTCATCATTGTTGGTAAAAACAGCTTGGAAATGAAGAAATTGACAGGTAAGCCTTATAATAGTCAGGATGTACAAATTAAAATTCTGTGAACTCCAAATTTTATCTTTTTTTCTTTCAGAACAATGGCTGAGCACTCTAGCCTATGTGATAGTTGTGATAGGAGTTGGGTTGCCCCTTTGGTGGAAGACTACCACTGTCTACCGGGCCCACATCCCCCATGGGGAGATTGCTGATCTCGATGACATATCCCTCCTTCAGACAATTCATGTTGTCCTTCACTATCGTCCAGAGTCTATGGAAGCAGCCTTTCTCCAAAAACACATTGCAGCGCTGAACAATGGTAAGCTTGCTGTGAATTTTATCTGAAGATGTTATGTATGTGAAAAACTTGCTAGTGTGAAAAACTGCCTGCACAGATGTTTTGAAATACAACGTGACAGTGAAGTCTTTGCCGTCAACCTGGCTTCGGATTGTCAGGAAGCATGCCAGGCTGGACTCTCTATTCCAAGATGAGATGCCTGTTGACATTCCAGGCACAATTCACATTGTAGAAATACCCAAGGATGCACAAGACATCATGAAGGGTGCTGTCATCCATGTCAGTCACCACAGATACATTGCAATACTGCAAGAAGGAGGTGAGAGAAAATAACCCACCTCTATACCTATTGGAAATGCTGAAGCTAGTGACAATTTATTTTATATGAAATAGGTGCAAAGAGTGAATACCTTCTGCCAGCACTGGCTCATGTGATAGGTGACAGGAGCCTGAGGCAGAGTCTGTTGCCCAAAGACAAACGTCCTCTTCGGGGAGTACAGAGCTCAGCTGCTTATGACCTGCATTTTTGTATCCTTATCCCAAATCCTGAACTGTCTCAGAAAGTATCCTGGGACATCCAGTCTGCCATCACAGGTACTGTACATCCATAAATAATAGGACTGATTTTTAATGTCTGAATTTTTTTCGTTATTTTTTGTGACCTGCTTTTAATTTTGAAGTGCTGTGCTTTCTCCAGATTTCCTGGATCCATTTATGAAGAAATTGGAAGACCTGGCAGAATTCTCAACAACATCACAGTACCTGTATCTCACTCCACTTCCTCTAGAAGCACATTGGAATGAGAAGGCCAAGTGGTATTCCATTCCTGTGGAGCAGTTACCTCATGCCATCACACCAATTGAGAAACATCTTGGATCATACATCTCCCTCAACCCAGGCCTGAACTTTGTCCTCTATGTCCATCCAGCCTTTGGCAAGAACTTTCCTCTTCAGATCACAAACAGCAAAGGAGATCCAGTGTCATCCAATGCATACATATCTCCCCGATGGGGAGGGATTCATATTTATAACCAAAAGGATGAAAATACTTCTCTCATTCCATCTAGTCAATACATGGCTGTCTTTGTGACCCAACTTCGCCAATTCTTTGGGCTTGAACTGGAGGTGAGTCATCTTTTCCTGAGATGGAATTCCAGCATTTCACTTTCAGGCATTCAAAGTTGTTGGTGCTTCAATTCAGGATCCCAAGTGGCCTGGTGTAGCATTTCAGCATGTGAACCTGCGACATAGCATTCGAGACTGGGAAGTAGACTCACTACTCCGCCTGCACACCTTGGAGAACCTCCTGTCTACGAGACATAGCCTCCAGGTGAGTAGGTTCCAGTATCCTTCTTTGCTTCATGTAAATTCTAAATATTCAAAATATATTTTACATTTTTCTAATTTTCTTTAGAGCCTATCTCAGCTGGTGAGGAAGATAGGGAACCTGGTGATACGTGATGAGATTGGGGATGAGATACAGCAATCCTTAAAAAGTTTCCATGAAGCAGCTAGTCCTGGAACAAGCCTGAAGGAGTCTCACAATGCATCCAAGAAAGCCAGCATCTTTGGAAATAAGGCCTTCTTTGATGAGTCCCTTCTGGAGCTTTTATACTTCCCTGACGATCAGAAGTAAGGTTTTCTCTGTGCATACATTGTGATGAGAAGCCCTGGGATTCATTTCATGGTTCTTTGATGTATTCTTTCAGGTATGCCATCTACATTCCCTTGTTCCTGCCTGTTGGGATACCTGTGTTAGCCTCTGTTCGACAGTTGATTTTGTGGATAAAAAATAAAGAGTGATAGTACCATTTGCTCCCCTCTGATTCCAAGTTTTATTTTCACATATCTGAACTAATGGATAAATCTGAGAACCAAAATATCATCTTTCCTGTATACTTGAATTACATTTCCCAGGACATATTGATGAGGTTTCATTTGCCATTATCCTTGAACTGCCTCTTGAGACAGGCCAAGTCGACCTGAATCTCCTCCAGAAGGGTGGCAATGCGTTGCTTCTCCATGGATTCCTGGGTAATCAACTTGATAATGTCGCCAATAACCTGTTTTCTTTCAACAACGTTCCGGGAAGTTAGGGCTTTGGCATCATTGGCTTCATGATTCTTCTCATTTTGTTCCACAAAGACAGGGATTTCTTCCAAAGTCTTCTTGCCCTTAGAGAAGACAATTCAATACCGTATGTGCTGTTAAGTATGTTTTCAATGTTCAATGTTGTCTGAAGCAAAGGCTTTCAGACTATCGTTTGTGCCCCAGGCCACGAAGTTTAACGATGAACCACTTATCTCATTCTCATCGTGAATCCTGACGTTTGTTTTCGCATACGAACAGAATTTGTAATGATATTTCAGAACCAAATTCGTTTTGACCGAACAGTGGCAAAGAAGTTACTACTACACTGTATTCTAGGATTACCATATTTCGGACGCTTAGAAGTTGGACGGAAATTTGAAGGCGAAAAAGGGGAACGTGTTCGGGAAAACCCGGACGTATGGTAACCCTACTGTTTCCGGATTGAATTCGTATCTCCTATAGGAGCGCTTCCATCGATTGCAGGTAGTGATATTTTACACATGGGCAGTTACGGACCAACCAGAGTAATTGAATTAACTGTCCAGCGTGTACTGAAGAGTGACAGAGTTTAAAACAACAGAGCCCGTGCTCGTGAAGGTCTTTGAAGTTTTACGCGGTTTTTCTTTAGGCTCTTCCGTTCATATTCAATATTGAAACTATTATTCTTTTTTCGTAGTTGATATGGCTGGACTTTCTAGAGTATGGGCCTAGTCCTCCGTGCAGCCTTCCCAGGTAGCCGAAGGCACGTAGCCCGGGGGGGTGTCCTGGGTGTCTGGACACCTCCCGAAAAGAAGCAAGACTTCATGAAACAAGAGAGTAATGAAACAATGAGTATGAGAGTGTGGGGGGGGGGCACTTCGTCGTCTCATGAGCCTGAAAGAGCCTCACAAGACACCCCCAAAAATAATTCCTGGCTACGTTCCCGCTCATTGACAGGGTCGCAATATAGATGTCGCTGTCGATCCCTTGCAGGCGCACATCAACAAATCCTCCATGGCCGAGCAGCGGACTCAACGAGACACGCGTGTTATAAAGTTTTTACGTTGAGGGATCATTTTGGGTCGATTCCCGATTCCGCTGCCACGAAGCACACCTCATGGAAGTGTTGTTGATAACAAGCCACCAGATGTCTCTGTAATATTTCAACCCTCCCCTACCCCTCGGAGTGTCGCCTCTAGTTACACTCTCTATTATTACGACCCTTTCACACCCTACGCCTGTAGATGAAAAGGAAGAAGAGTAATACCGTTGGGCTGTCGTTCAGGCGCATCCGCTCTAATCCGCAGCAGAGCTCCGCGTCTATGTCCCCGAGCTCGGCGTCGGCCTGGGCCATTCTCCTCACGTCTCGGCTCGATGTCGGCGACTACCCCCCAAATGCTCGGTGGGGGAGATTGACGCCGATAGAAATGGCGAGACGTGGTGACGCCCTTGAGGAAGGATCTGGAAATTCACTAGCTCATTCACAAGGACCATGCACAGCCATGCTGGCTACGGGAAACCCTCTCATGGAGCCGATTTATGTGGGGAAAAAAAAAAAGAATTTGCAATTGCAGGTCGACTACGAACAGGAATGAGTCAGACTTCACAGCACCGTCCTTATTTTTTCTCCAAACAAAATAATTCCCCTTCACCCCCTGCAGAACGTCGAGTGTTCGAAACCCGATCCAGTCGATCGTTTCAGAGGTGCGTGGATCTTCGTTTCGACACAAGTAAGGGCACATCAAGATTGAAGAATGGCTTTTGCTCCGTACCAATCCGGTTTCCAAGGTAGATTAATACCTTTAAAGATACGAGCCGACTATCGATGCCGGTCAATCCTATTTGAGAGCCGTAATTTATGACGAGCCCCTAAAAGGGAAGATGTGTGCCGCCCGAGCAGATTCCTTTCCCCATCATAAAGAGAATTAAGTGGAAAGCTATTCCTGAAGCGGAATCGGAAACTTTTACTGTGGTGTGCTGGCTTATTATCATGATAGATAATTTTTGAGGACTTCCTTGGCAATTTCTACTACACCGCGTTGAGATGCTGTAACAGAGTAGAAGGGAATGCTTTAGAGTGAATTCGATTTCGCTCGTGGAGGTGTTCGGTTCAAGAATGGGTAGAAATATTTGATTTCAGGTTGGCACGAGTTCGGCGATAAATGCAAAGAATGCCTAGAGGGGCTAGGCGGTTTCCGAGAGCAGTTCCATTCAGGACTTTTCTCTGATGGCTTGAACACAGAATGAAAGACAAGCCAAGCCAAGGAATGACGCTGAGGCTCCCTCTGCTTTTCCGAGCACATTTCTAGCGGTCATGCTAGCCTCCAAGCAAACTTCATTCCCAAAATCAGCTCTCTGCTGTTTCACATCCGTTGGATTCTTCTGTAAGCATATGCTGTCATAAAAAAAAAGCTAGGAGAGGGAGGTAAAGGTTAATTTTGCCAGAAAAGTGCCCGTTCCATCAACCGTCGGTCAACATCTAGATCGTTTAGTTCAAACAAAAATCCTCTGCTAATGGGACACGTCTATTTCGTCTTATCGGCTACTGACAAGGAACATTCACGAAGTGTGACGCTCCGATTCGAACCAAAATTTGTACAAATGCAGTACATAATTATTAAATTCTGTAAATAACATTTTACGTGTCCTCCTGGCACAAGGACTGATTTATTACCAGTGGCGGCTCGTCAGGGTAGGCAGGGTAGGTAGTGCCTACCCAGTTTACAGTCAGAGTTCTCAAATTAATATTTGATAATTAATTCTTCGATTAACACAGCTGGAAATATTTTTTTTCCCATTGCGAGGTAAAAGCAAATCGAGTTTATGCGTCCAGAGTAGGCACGGCGCTGCCTGCCTACGCTGGCTAGGCTCAAATTCCCTCGAGCCCAATGCAGGAACGTGAGGAGGGAGAAATGGAAGAGAACCACAACACTGGAATGAGTGAGGGTAGGCTTGCCTACGGTGCGCAGTTACTCCTTGCGCAGAAAGGA